GTCAAAACTATTTCCTCTATGTTTTGCATATGTAAATTAATTCTCTTTTTGACTTTTCGTTCCGAACTCTTATCATTATTGCCGGTGGCTCTATCAATACCTGCATTTGACTTTCACCGGCTTTATGCAACTTACTTTTAGGCCCCGGCATTAATTTCCCTCTTGATTTTCGGTTTTTACGATGTCTTTAGTGCCACAACTTATTAAACTGTCGAGGAACCTTGTAACCGGCTTGAAAGGGATTTTCTGTCATTTACGCTGTTACCTTCCTTCATCCCTTTTCCTGCTGGGAAGATAATTATAGTATTAGACAGATACAGATACAAAATTTAGCCCCGGATTAAAATAGAAAGGCTGTGGAGGATCTTTATCCTCTCCTTTCTCTTGTCTTTAGAAGAGAATAGACAATGATCAAATGTCCAATATGAAGAAAAGAAATAGTTTTGTTTTACTATTATTCAAACATTCTATGTTAAAACTTGTGGCACCTTTTTATAACAAAATTTCAAAAATTTATAAAGTCAGATGGTACTTAATTTAATTAATATTAAGCCAAATAAACATCAGTAGGTAGTAAAAAATTTAATTATATTTTTAATTAATAATATTTCAATTATATTCCTTAAACATTTTTTAACTGCCGTTTGGTCGTCCAACGACCTGTAGCACTGTTGAATTTTAATAACAACGATTATTTGGATATCGTGGAGATTGACTCGGTCTGGTGTGATGTAGGTTTCAGAAAAACATATTCTTTATCGTGCCAACGTTTCGATCTTTATTGAGATCATCCTCAGAGCTCAAAGTGTTTGTTTTCCGTGTAGATGTGTCATTCTTGTGAGTCGTGTTGGAGCGTTGAGCAGGTCGGTTAGGTATTTTATCATGTTTATGAAGGGGAATTTAGAAATGAAACTATTGAGGGTGTTCAGGTTTATGTGTTTTTATAGATCCGTATAGTTTCGAGGGCGTTGGTGAGTTGTTTTGAAGTCATTTGTATGTCTATTTGTCAATTTCTTTTTGTTTAAGTGTTTCTTGAAGGATTTTGCTTGTCTGTTTGATGAAAGAAGGGGTAGGGTCTGATTTGATCTTGCTGTATGTGTTTGTGTCGTTGATAATTTTGTTAAGTCTTCCTTGTACTCTTTTTTGCTGATTGCTACTGTTTGTTTTGTTTCTTCATCAGAACGAATGAGTACGACAGGGTTATTTTTGAGAATTTTTTTAGTTTTGGTTTATGTTGGTTGTGATATGTTGTGTTGATTTGTAGTGAGGTGTTGTAAGTGATTTGTTATTGTGTTAATGCATTTTGATCGTGCTATGTCTTTTTCTTCTTCTGATTTTTGTTGACTTTTGGATTTCATAGTCTACATCAGTAATTAATTTAGCTGTTGGGAAATCTAAAACATGACTCACAAGAATGACACATCTACACGAAAACACTTTGAGCCCTGAAGATGATCTCAATAAAGATCGAAACGTTGACATGATAACGAAAATGTTTTTGTAAAACCTACGTCACATCAGACCTCATCCCACGATCTCTAAATAATCATTCGCTAACGGTCACTAAACACCACACACACATTAATAACAACCTTCAGAAACTATCGACTAAAATTTCAAAAGATTATCGAATGTTTTTAAAATACAAAAAAATAGTTAACGTAAAAAAATAAGATTTTAAATTTGGTCTTATACTCATAATGTAAAAAATGTAAAAATAGGCACCTCGGAATGAGATTCTGGCCCCAAGTAATGACTTCGAGTAATCACTCTCTTGAAGAACTGATCAAACTTTACAAAATTCTGATAGCATGGAAAAGATAAATAACCTTGTGTCGTGTTTATAACATTTAAAGGTTCAACTGTATGTCGTCTGAATAGTGAGTTAATTTTCTACGAACTCTTGCACTCGAGATAAGACAAAGTGCGGGATTATTTAAAGAAAAGTGTCTTGAAACCGGTTGGCCGTTTGTTTGATGTACGCGGCCGACTGATACAACAGCTAGAAAGGTTGCACCGTTGAGTCAGAAATGTTTCGAAACAGTAGCAGCGGGCGTTTCCTGCTTGCATCGCCCTATTTTGCACTACGGTCAAATGTCAATGGTAATAGCGGACCCGCAGGGATCGCCGATGATGAACCCGTTGAGTCACAATCAGAATCAACTCCTTAGCATAAAAAAGCTATACCAATCTTCTTTCGTAACACATAGGAAACTACGGTCGTAACTTCGGAAGATTCCATATCTAGATGTACATATCCTAGCGTAAGTATGGAGATAATTTTCAAATGACTATCGCATCTGAATTTGATATCATTACCGATGACGTTCTTAGCCGTTTGAAAGCAATACACTGACAAATCTGATCAACGTATCCTTTGGGATAATTATAGAAGAAATTCTGCAAAGGTCATAATGAACCCAATTTTTTCTTACTGATTATTCGGAGATCGTCAGATGCGGTCTGGTGTGACGTAGGTTTTAGAAAACTATTTTCTTTATCGTACCACGTTTCGATCTTTATTGCGATCATCTTCAGGGCCTGGGATTTAAAACCATTGTTTACATTTTATAAATATACGTAGGATGTGAAAAAATGAATTTAAACAATGCTAGAATTTTTTAATTCAATCAAAGTGAGTACAAATACTTCGATTGAATTTAAAAATTCTAGCATTGTATAAATGCATCTTACATGTATTTGTAAAATTTAAGCAATGGTTATAAAATCCAGGCCCTGAAGATGATCGCAATAAAGATCGAAACGTTGGCACGATAAACAAAATGTTTTTTTAAAACCTACGTCAAACCAGACCGTATCTCGCCTACACCGAATAATCATTAACTAATAGTCAATACACACCACTCTCACCTATTTTTTTATTTTTTTTAATGAGGGTAATTCAACTACGAAGTTACTGAACCCTCTGGGTGCTGGTGTATTTGACAAACAGCTCATTTGCAAGTTTGTCGGGTTCGAATGCATGGCCGCTGGATTCGAACCCTGAAACGTTAGCTTACAAGGATGAGCGCCGCATCAACGCCTTAACCTCTGCGGCCACCGACGCCCCTAATTACTTTGAAATAAAAAATATTCAAACTTATATGGACCAACGGATTATACCAACCAAAGAAACAAATATGTAAAATGTTAAATGTACCCAAACAATACACTATGGAACGTCATCATGTTCCATCGGGACTTGAGTATAGATAATATAAGAAAGAGGAAATAAATTTGTACGATTTCCTCTTGTCTGTGACTAGTCTGGTACTCGATTGCTTCTTTTCATTTTGGTCAACCTATCGTGAGTCTTTTAGATGCGTTTGGCAAGTGTCGTTTAGTTAATTAGGATTTTGGTTCGATGTTGTGCCAGAGTTTAGGAATTCTTCGTTTCATAAGCTCCAAATGACATCTTCCGCATTTGATAGATCGATTCAGCGTGGATAAATAGACCAAATTTCAAAAATCATGAAACGTCATATAACTACTCTGCCATGTGTAACAAATAAACTCATTATAGTAAAGTCGAGGTGATCCATCCTTAACAATGCAGCAACGGAAGAACCAGCACTAAAGATGACAAAATTCCGAAATCCACCTGGCAGACCGAAACCAGCATGTATAGGCTGACCAAAAAGATCCGTAACGAGCAAACGTAGGTCATCACCCCGCTAAATACATGGAGAATGTGCGATGTGGGAAATGTCGAGAATTCCCGGCCGTTTGGTTTGGTTCAGCGTATAGTGAAAAGAGAATATTGCGCGTTTAATATAAACGTTAATTTTAGAAAACTTAGTTTTTGTAAAGAACTACTTTTTAAGACCTTATTTAAACGCTTTTCAGAGCAGTATTTTACAGGCCCCGCATTGGCTGACATCCCATGTCAGCGGCCGGTTCGAATCCTGTTATAGCCCTTCGGATTTGCAAACCTGCGGTTATAACTTTCAGACCTAAGTACAAAGAGGACAGTTAAGCAATCAGAAAATGCAGCTGGCTTGCTTCTTCCAACAAAACCATTAGTAAAGCTCGAACACAACAGGCGAAAGTTTAAGCACAGCTATTCTAAGACATAAGTATTTACATTAGATAAAATTTACTCAATATTTAATGATTGATCGGAGTTTATTATGGTAACCGTCCACTATTTGCTATAAAAGAATATCTGTTTCGAAAAGTTTGAAATTTGCCTTTCACATGCTTTAATGCCATGTGACTGGACAGTGACAATTATTTACCTTACTTCTCAAAAATAGCATAGATGTTTATGCTAACCTTTTTCTTTGTTAATTTGTATTTAATAGCTTATAATTTTATACCAGGTTGATGGACATCGTTTGATATAACATTAACCTCAAGATCTGAATTTTATATCGGTCAGTTAGATACCAGATCAACAGCTAAAGCAAGGAATATTTGTAACAAATATTTGAGTTTTTAAATAAGCTGCTCCCTTGGAAAAGGTATTTTATTTTTTCTATTAGAACTGTGAAAAGAAGCGTTATTGGTATGATGTAGCTTTATTCAGGTGTGACATATTGTCATGGTTGAAATTTGTGGGATCTTATTTATAAAAGTATTACCTAATTTTCACAATATGCATTAAATCACCCATAATAATCTATAACATTTCTTTTTTTAATTGTGGCCTATATATGCCTATTACAAATTTGGGCGTTTTTTCTACTAGTTCAACAGTGATACAATGGCGAGCACTGCTTTTTCACTACATTTTTATCCATTTAGGTTTGTCCTTTTCTGATTGCAGCAGCCTTTGATAAGCTCAAGCTGTTCTTGAATGTTAGAAGATGCGGGTTAGAACATAAAATTATAGTCTCATCATCAGCATAGGTACTAATGATAACAACGGGATGTATAGGAAAATATTCGTAATTGTTTAATTTAAAAAATTGACATAAGATAAGAGACACTTTGTAAATACACAGAGGAATAGCAAGAAATGAACCATCATTTCCCGTCAACTTAAGCCAACTAAACGATTTTTTATTGAACATAATTTATATTTATTATTTGTAAACATGCATACACGTACACGGGTTACAGCCCTCATAAATTTGTATTAAGAGGCCGATTGTTGGCCCGATCGGCACTAGCACTGGTCGATCGGCTGCTGGTTAGGCCCGAAGAAAGACTGCCTCTCTGGGCTCAAATTCTTCTGGGGCTTGACCGACGGCCACTTTGACACAAACAGCTTCTTAACAAACCAATTGAGTATCATGGACCAATATTTCACATTTATTTCACCGACTGAATGAAAACTCTGAAACTAAAAGTTTATGATTAGTTACTGCGACTTAGAAATAAAAAAAGCCAAGCCCAACCATTTTTGTCGTAGTGTTCAATAGGCGGTATTCAAACGATGGAAGCACTTCGCTCGGATCTTGCCAGGTGTCTGTTATAAAACAACATAATTCATAAGTTTTTGACAAAGGTAAGATCGTCACGATATCCAACCTGCAAAATTATCGGAGTCGTGGTTGTAATGAAAGTTGAGTCCCCAGATTATGTAGCGGACCAGGCAGTAGTCAAGTTCGGCCAGGTAGTGGTTCAAATCGACGTCACTATCTTTCAGCAGGTCATACAGGATCTGAACCCCCTGGCAAAGAGATTAATCAGCAATAAAAACATTATTATGTTGTAGAATTTACCTCCTTGGCCCTTCCCACCGTCCTGACTAACTCTAGGGTGTCGATTATGTTGAAATGAAGGCAGTATTCTTCGTCCGTCATCTGCTCCTCAGAGCGAGCTGGGCTTTGGGCAAAGATAGCCTTTTTCTTCAGCAACTCCTGCCAGTCGTTCTCATCTTCTTGCGACCAGTCTTCGATCATCGCCCAACGGAACCACCCTTTTTCAGGGCTCCAGACGTCTTCGATGAGCGAAAAGTCATGGATGAAGTCGTCGCCGTAGGGATCGTCGTACCATTCCCCCGCATCGTCGTCCATCTCGTATTCTTCCTCCATAGCTAAAACGCTGTTTTTTATTAAAATTAATACTAAGCGGGCAGGAAGGATTTTAGCCGGGCTTACTGGAACGGATCGCTTCCCTGAACGCTTGCTGGTGCTCTGACTCGTCGGAAAATTCGGAAAGCACGAGATTGGGGTCAGTTGTAAGCATCGCGAGATCTTCGCCTACATCTTCTCCTGCGGAAGACATTCCAATTGCAACTCCTTCTAAATCTTCAACAAACCTACAAAAATCCCTCATCAAACGTAAATAACAAAAATACATGACTAGTTAAACAATCGGTCTGAATTAGGAAAAATTGAGTTGTAAGTGATAAAAATATTGGTTATAAATAGTTGTTACCTATCCCGTTCTTCTGTGTTTTCGGCGATGTTCAAGTATTCGTTTTCACCACTGGGAAGCATAAGAGCGACCTGGTAGAGTTCATCGTCGGGCCAGATATCATGCGTAGAGGTCGCCCCCTCTTCGTCGGAGCTATCCTCCCCATCGTAAAAATCCGATCTACCCTATTCATTTTAAACAAAAAAACTGTTTAATGTAAGATTTTTGCTTGCTACATTAGCTTATCACACAAAAATAAAAAATAATAACAGAATCCAATGAAGTTACTTATTTGAGAGGTTCATTAAATCAGTAATGAAAATATTTTATAAAAGCAATTGATATTTCAATTCAATTCATTCTCTTTTCAAAAATCGCAACCGTATTATCGTTAATTATCTCTTTCTTTAAATAACTTATAGGGGCGTCGGTAACCGCAACGGTAGGCGTTGACACGGCCCTCATCGTAAAGGTAAACGTCCAGGGTTCGAATCCAGATGCCCTGCATTCGAACCCGACATATTTACAAATGGGCTTATTTTCAAAAACATCGGTACCCCAAGGCAACCTCGTAGTTGAAATACCCAAAAATAAAGCATAGACAAATTCATACAATTTCAATTCAAACATTTAAATGTAAAATTCGGACAATAGGCTCACCTAAGAAATTGAGTTGAACTAATCTCGTCCTGGGTTCAACCAATTAAAGTAAAAACAGGCCAGTTCAACATGAATTCATTAATTAATTCAAAATTAATTAATGGCAAAATCTTTTGTCGATTTTATATCAACCGGACGTAAAGTGTAAGTTTATTACATGATGGCCAACAATAAATACTTCGATTTTCGGAGAAAGACTACTCCCAATAATGGACTACTTTGTTTAATGAATTTCTCGATAGGGACGCAGGTGTCACAAATTCATAACTTTTTGATGAAAAAATAATTCGAAGTGCTGTAAATGATTTACTAGCCGATCGGACAAAAATAAAAGGAGCATTGTCCAATAAATATCTTTCGATAATTGTTCTCGTTTAAAATGTTGGCAGATAAGTGTTCTCTTAGAAGTCAAAAATTTAAAAACTCAGACTTTTTTTCATTACTACACCAAGAAAATTTCGTTCAACGACTGTTACTCGATAATATCGGTAATGGACCTGATCCAATCACCCATAAAATGACAAAATGTAAAACTTACCATTGTCATCGTCCGGTATCAGCTATGGTCATAAGATAATTGATGATTCATGGCACTTATTCCATGAAAACATTTTCGACGCTTAAAATTTCTCAAAAAGACAAAAGTGTAAAAATCTACGCCGGGCTACAAAGAAACTCACCTGATTTCGATGTCAGATGTCATTAAAAATTCAAAATTTGTTGTTTTTTTTGTATTAAAGAATGAAGGCATGGTATTCGGTCCCATTTTAATAAGCTCGGTCTTATTTTAATAGGGCTTTCGGTCAATTACCAGTTACCGGGATTTAGTCCTAATCCGTAAATCCTCTTTACGTATAACCAGTTAAAGCTCTTGTTTCATGTACTTACTGTAATCTCCGTTTTGAAATGAGACGTCTCGGATATTGATAATTCTTTAAAAGGCATTTCTTTTCACTCCAAAGAACCGTCATTTCGGAAAGTGACCCTTATCTTTTGACGATAAAATTGAAAATCGGGGTTACGGCCGGACCGGACGAAACTCGAGAAAGGCGAGATGGGACAAGGACGAGACGTTTTTCTGCCAATATCGGAGAATAGGATGAGATCGTCTTGGTGACGAAATACTGAAAAACTGTAAAAATGTCAGTAACTTGACCATCCCAGATCCGATGTCAGTGAAGATTATTAACAAATGAAAGCTCAAAAAATTTATATCCCTCAAATATGAAACTAACTGAAAAACGTACTATTTTCATACAAAATAATATAAATCAATCTTCTAAACCCTATGTACATTCACTCAGGTGTTAAAAATTTCAAAGACAATCCAAGTCTATCTGGTGATCCAAAAATAGAAATCAATTTGATGAAAAAAAAATGAAAACCATAAGAGAATTGATCTTTATATAATTGTATTCCTTGTCATTTCGTCGTTCCGGATAATTTAGGCTTAATTATTTATCCAGATTGTTAATTAGGACTGATATGCTAATTCTCACTAATGAGGTCGCTAAAGATATTCCGCTACCAGTGAATCGGATCGCACGTCACGATATTATTCGAATTAACGAACCGGCGGAGAGAACTGTCACGGACCGTTCCGAGGTACAATCAAAACGACCATCTTATCCTAATCCGGATTAATAACAATGGATAACCTGAAGAGGAGAACACCTTAGCAGAAGTTGTCTGTCTATGGGCAACTGGAGTTAGAAAACTAATATCAAATAGGTTACTCCAACAAAAATGTCTAATTTAATTACTTTTGAAGTGGACAGAGGGCCGGCGAATTTTAAACTGTTTGATGATTATTTAGATGACTATGAAAATTTTAATTTAAAAAAAAATAGCTCGTAAAATTAAAAAAAAACACATTGTCGAAAAATGTAACTTTTATCAATTAATAACCGTTTAAAATTTTAATTTATGCATAAATGGGCTGCTTAATCGTTAACCGAGAATTTAAATGAGGCAAATTATGGCAAGTCATGAATTGACTTTTTTTTAGATATAGAAAGTATTTATAATTTTTCCGTTGTAATAACCAATTCCAGATTTTAATGCATTGTTTCTAAATTTCGTGACATTTTTTATTAATATTTTTATTAATACATTTATTTTTTAAAACTGGTCAAATGAGACCATTTAATAATTTTACTTATTGTTTATTTATTTTGAGGATAAATTAAAAATAAATACACTTTAGTCCACTCATTCATGTTACAGTTTATCTAGTTGAGTTCATCACGTAACATTTTACAGAACTTATTCAAATGGCTTAATCCTCTTCAGTTGTACAATGAGCTATGTAGCAGTCCGCGGGCCTCGGTTTTCGGTGACTCTGACGAGGTAAGTAGTGCTTATGAGCTATGCGTGATCTCATTAGGATGGGCGGGATATTCAGATCTCTGGGTATTGCGAACATTCCAAAAAGCATTTACCATATTTTGTAAAACTTTATTTTGTAACCCTTGTATTATGATTTCTTCTTTTGGCACACCCCAGTGTTTTATACCATACACATGGGTTTTAAGAAGTGATAATAAATCATTAACTATTCATAAAGTGAATACCTAACAAACTTATTAGGGATAATCACAATCTCTGTGTTAACCCTGTTAGGTCATGTTAGAGTTCGAGAAAAATGATGACGTAGACTTGTATGAATCGTCCAGTTAACATTGCTCGATCTAACAGGCCAGAGCTGTTAGGTATTAGGTGGAAAAAGTACTACTTACATTACTATCCGATAGAGCGTAGGTAACCAACACGGCAGCCATGAATTTAACAGCTTTTTTTTTTTGTATACACGTATATTTATTAAATACGCATTAATTAAATCAGATCAATACATTTTTTTGTTAATTTTTTACCTGTCCTTGTACTCTAATTCATAATAGATACATCCCCTAACCTGTAAAGTAGTAGGCTGTTAGGCGTTAGGATACAAGTCAGGTATGTCGGCACGAATTGAAGCGTGTCATTAGTAATTACTTTTCGACTTTAGTGTACAAAGATAACATTTTGAATGAAAGTATTGATTAATTTTCCTTTTTTATTAACTTCTGGCATCTTACAATTTAACCCAACACAATACCAGAACAAACAATCACAAACCTTCAAGGACTGTTATAGCTTTATTTTTGGTTCTACCAATCGCCACGCGCAGCATTGCGGAAAAATTAACTTTTAAAGTGCTAAGAAAAGAAGGGGCATTCACGATCTTACTGGACATTTCTCTATTCGAGTTAACACGAGTTAACATCTTACAAACGTCGTGAATATCCCTATTATATATGGTCCTGCCTAAATATTTTACTGAATTCTGGGAAGGAACTGCTTTAGCATTTAAGATGATTCGTTTGGGTAAATTTTTTATTTGTGAAGTTTACAAGTACGGTGTTTTGACCTTCCAAGAATTTGTCCATTCTGTTGACTGCCATTTTCAGTCTATTCGTGGATGCCTGGATACATTTCTCGACTTAATGGGCAACTAGGTGTATACAGCAAGTACACCACGGGGCATAGGATTCCACCTCGTGGTACGCCAATCTTGATTTCAAACAAGTAGATTCCTTTGTTAGTTTAACTTTGTACAGTCCGTGATATTTCAGTCCGCTTGTTTATTTTATTTCGTTTATTGGAGATATTGTTGTTATAAGTTACTTCAATAACTTCGCGAAACTTTGATAGAAATTCACTTTGCCGAAAGTTTGTATTTTCTATCGAAAGTAATGTAAGTACATTTGGCTGTTAGAATTTTTCTTCTGATTTTTTATTATGTTACTATAATCATTTATTCTCCTAATTCTAGTCAGAATTTTCAAATTTTCTCAAAAATCTAACACAATTTTCTTTATATTATTTTCTTTTTATGAATGTTTTTGTGAAAGCGAGTTGCAAATTTTTACCAAATTATTTATATATATAAGGAAAAGCTGCCTGGATTTGACTTTATTTCACAATGGAAAACTGTAAAACACGATAACTCATGACTTTTGCAATACAAATACAACAATTCCAGCTGTAAAATATTAATTTTTTGCAGAAATATTTAAAAAAACATATTAATACGTTACTGTTTACGTACATAAACATACAAAAAATAATAATTTTTTTTCATGGCCGTGCCAAAAATGTCTAATTGCGGAACTGTTTATTTTTAATTAAAATTCACAATTATATTATTTTTATTTTACAATACACCATTTATCTTTCTAACCATCCATATGTTGGAAATGTTAGATTAAACGATATCGAGACTCTTATTAATTATAGTTTCACTTCCCCGCTCAATTTTTTTAATTTTCATAAAACTATTTTAGCGCTTTTTCATAAAGTTTCAAGTCAGCGAAAAGAAATTACAAATGTATCTTGAAGCTAACGATTTTTGTACTCCTGCATTTTAAAATTCTCAGTTGGAAAAAATAAATATTTTTATATTGGTTGTAATAGATGGGATAATGACTATATGTTAGGTAATTATTTAAATTCGGATTCTCCAGACGTTTTATTGTTCCATTTCACCGTGTTTTCAGGTTTCAGTAAAGCGGCAACGCTCGTGGAATATCGTCTATAAAACTAATTTACGCAGTGTCGAGGCACGTCTGTTTTCTTGCTGGAAGTTGTTATTTACGGGCAACTCTTTCGTGGATCAGTCTTTAACTAGAAATTATAAATCCTCATTTTAATTGGAGGGCGAAAGACGATGGATCAAACAAGAATTTGCATTCGAAAAGAAATCTAGAAAAAAACCGCACGATTTACATAATGTCTCAGTCTATGTATTTAATAATTATTATGTTATAACGGTATAAAACATAATAATTTTATCTTTCTAATCTTTGGAATCCCTTGCTTCCCTGCAATTTCGATTATTTGATTAGTATCAATTACTTTTTTAAATCATAAAACATTATTAATCATTTCAAAAAAATAGACATCATAATGCTATTTATGTTACGTTGTCTATTTATGCCAGCACCTATTTATTATTTTACTCATTTATCAAACGTTGTTTGTACACAATTCCTCCAATATATATAGAATGAATCAACTAAAGCAAATAATAGTCTCAAATCCTACCTTCTTTTTTGTCAAAAAAAAACTGATTTCATTCCAATCGTATTCTGAAATAAAGAACCATAACCTCATTTCATACCAGAATCAATTTAATTAGAATCAAAGTGAACATGTATTTGATACTTTTGTTTTTATAAATTAACCATGTATCATTTTAACAAATAACAATAATAATAATGTACTAAAATATTCCCTATGTTGATCCAGTGCTAATTCTGAACATTGGAAGATCTCCTATCTTGTTCCCTTCTCAAGAGAGACAATTTCTTTCAAATTCTAATTCAAACTAAATGATGAATTCGTATCAGTACAAATATTGGGTAAATCTTTATGAAAGGTATTGGTCGAGATAAAAAAAGTCAGTGTAAGGAGGGGGATTCGAACCCACGACCCTCGGCTAAATACGCTGCTGCTCTACCACTTGAACAACGGCGACCTCGATCCGCTCGGATAATAACTTCCGATCTCAACCTCACCTCTTGAATTTTCCCTCCTTTTTGCCATTTTTCATTGAGATGGGAAGTTAGTGTCCGAGCGGATCGAAGTCACGATAGCTCAAGTGGTAAAGTAGCAGCGTATTTAGCCGAGGGTCGTGGGTTCGAATCCCCCTCCTGACACTGACTTTT